CGAAACAACCACCCCCCCCCAGCGCCACCCGACCGCCCCCCCCAAAAAAACAAAAAACCCTGAGCACCCCCCACCACCACAAGATTGGCAGCCCCTTACCAGGTGCCGCCCCAAGCACATGCTTGGTCGGCTGGTGCCTGGAGCCAGCCCTGTGTCCTGGGCCCTGCGTGAGGCCGGGCGCATGGGAGCCGCAGTGCGGGGACATGCAGTGATGGGCTGTCTCGTGGCACAGACACAAAGGGCAGAGCAAAGGTTGTGTGGTCAGTTCTACTTCTGGCATTTCCAATCTTGGGAGTGCTCACCTTCACGCCTTAGGCATGTTCTTCTGATACACCTTTGTGAGGCATTCTGGTCCCTGAGAGCATCCCGCCTGGGGTTTGGCCTTGCCCCACAGGGACGTGGGGGGTGGGCACAGCTCCCCAACTGCTCAGGTGGGCTGTGGATGCTCCCTGGGGGCGGTTTGCTCGCTCCTCACGGGCACCAGACCCACAGGAGGCTGGGGGGCAGGGAAGAGGCTGTGGAGGTGTGAAGGGGCACTGCAGAGGGGTTTGACGGGAGGCTGGGCACAGGCTGGGGTGGAGCGAGATTTTTGGTATAGTGGGGACCCTGGGGCAGGACCCATATGTGAGAGAGAGCGAGACTGGGTCGTAACATGATGAAGGGCAGAGTACCATGGATTCAAGGCTTGGTAGTGACAGACATTGAGGCTGTGTGGTTGACTCATGGACCGAAGAGCGGGGTTGAGCACAGGCTGTGCTGGTGTATTAGATGGGCAGACTGTGTGTTGGGTGATCTTAGAATATCAGGGTTGGAAGGGACCTCAGGAGGTCATCTAGTCCAACCCCCTGCTCAAAGCAGGACCAATTCCCGACTAAATCATCCCAGTCAGGGCTTTGTCAAGCCTGACCTTAAAAACACCTATGGAAGGAGATTCCACCACCTCCCTAGGTAACCCATTCCAGTGCTTCACCACCCTCCTAGTGAAAAAGTTTTTCCTAATATCCAACCTAGACCTCCCCCACTGCAACTTGAGACAGTTGCTCCTTGTTCTGTCATCTGCTACCACTGAGAACAGTCTAGATCCATCCCCTTTGGAACACCCCTTCAGGTAGTTGAAGGCTGCTATCAAATCCCCCCTCACTCTTCTGCAGACTAAATAAACCCAGTTCCCTCAGCCTCTCCTGATAAGTCATGTGCTCCAGCCCCCTAATCATTTTCGTTGCCCTCCGCTGGACTCTCTCCAATTTGTCCACATCCTTCTTGTAGTGTGGGGCCCAAAACTGGACACAGTACTCCAGATGAGGCCTCACCAATGTCGAATAGAGGGGAATGATCACATCCCTCGATCTGCTGGCAATGCCCCTACTTATACAGCCCCAAATGCCATTAGCCTTCTTGGCAACAAGAGCACACTGTTGACTCAGATCCAGCTTCTCGTCCACTGTAACCCCTAGGTCCTTTTCTGCAGAACTGCTGCCTAGCCACTCGGTCCCTAATCTGTAGCAGTGCTGGTGCGTTAGATGGGTGGTCGGGTGCAGGAGACACCGGGCGGATGGGTGTGCCCAGAGGCTGTGCTGGTGTATTAGATGGGAGGACTGTGTGTTGGGTGGTCAGGTGTAGGAGACACTGAGCGGATGGATGTGCTCAGATTGTGCTGGGGTATTAGAGGGGCAGATTGTGTGTTGGGTGATAGGGTGTAGGAGATACTGGGCAGATGGGTGTGCATAGATTGTGCTGATGTGTTAGATGGGCAGACTGTGTGTTGGGTGGTTGAGTGTAGGAGACACCGGGTGGGTGGGTATGCACAGATCATGGTGATGTATTAGATGGGCACACTGTGTTGGCTTGTTGGGTGTAGGAGACACTGAGCAGATGGGTGTGCATAGAGGTTGTGCTGGTGTATTAAATGGGAAGACTTTGTGTTGGGTGGTTGGGTGTAGGAGACACCAGGTGGGCGGGTGTGCACACAAGCTGTGTTGGTGTATTAGATTGGCAGATTGTGTGTTCGGTGGTCGGGTGTAGGAGACACCAGGCAAGTGGGTGTGCACTGATTGTGCTTGTGTATTAGATGGTCAGACTGTGTTGCGTGGTTGGGTGTAGGAGACATGGGGCAGACAGGTGTTCACAGAGGCTGTGCTGGTGTATTAGATGGGCACACTGGGCTGGGTGGTCAGGTGTAGGAGACGCTGGGCGGACGGGTGTGTACAGAGGTTGTGCTGGTGTATTAGATGGGCAGACTTTGTGTTGGGTGGGGAGGTGTTCACACAAGCTGTGTTGGTGTATTAAATGGGCAGACTGTGTGTTCGGTGGTTGAGTGTAGGAGATACCTGGCGGATGGGTGTGCTGGGGTATTAGAGGGGCAGACTGTGTGTTGCATGGTTGGGTGTAGGAGACACCGGGTAGATGGATGTTCACACAAGCTGTGCTGGTGTGTTAGATGGGCAGACTGTGTGTTGGGTGGTCAGGTCTCACAGACACTGAGCGGATGGGTGTGCACAGAGGTTGTGCTGGTGTATTAAATGGGCAGACTTTGTGTTGGGTGGTCAGATGTAGGAGACACCAGGTGGACGGGTGTATGGGCAGAGTGTGTTGGGTGATCGGGTGTAGGAGACACTGGACGTATGGGTGTTCACAGATTGTGCCGGTGTATTATATGGGCAGAGTGTGTTGGGTGTAGGACACATTGAGTAGATGGGTGTGCACAGAGGCTGTGCTGGTGTATTAGATGGGCAGACTTCGTGTTGGGTGGTCGGGTGTAGGAGACACCAGGTGGACGGGTGTGCATACAAGCTGTGCTGGTGTATTAGATGGGCTGACTGTGTGTTGGGTGATCAGGTGTAGGAGACACTGGATGGACGGGTGTGCACAGGGGTAGACTCCTGAATGAGGGTCAGGCTTCATGGTAGGGTGTCTCTGCATCTGTGGATGCATTGGGGTCGCTGGTGCGTTCCATGGCTACTGCAGCAGGGTGTGCCAGGGCAGAGCTGGCGTGGGGATCTGGGCTCTGACGCTCTCCTTCTCTGCAGGAGCTGATGTCTGCTGGCAGGAAGGAGAAGTCTAGGATGGCAGAGGAGAGTTCAAGTGGTAGCAGCAGCTCCCCTAGCCCTGGGGACACTCTCCCTTGGAACCTGGCCAAGCACCAGAGGACGAAAAGAACCAAGTCGTCCTCGGGCAGCGGGACCGTGCTGGACCCGGCGGAGAGAGCCGTGATCCGCATCGCAGGTAGGGTGCTCGTGATGCCAGTGGAGGGTTGGAATGCGCTTTCTATGGCAGAGGGTCATAGTTCTCCCCCTCTGGACGTGGTGAGAGACAGTTGCTGTGTGAACAGTGCAGCCTGATTGGCAGAGCACCAGCAGCCATTGTGATTGGGGGACCATCCCCCCGTGGGCGTGTTTCTAGTGGGATCTGGTCTCAGCCCAGCGCTATTCAGTATCTATCAATCATCTGGGAGAAAAGAGACAATCACTGCTGGTAACATTTGCACCCACACCAAGTTGCTGGTGTGGTAAATACAGGGACAGACAGTCTGGATCGTTTGGTGCGCCAGGTTCCTCTGAACTGCACACGTTTAATCCACGTGGGGGCCTGTCGTGTGTCTGCGCAGGGTCACACGACTGGGAACAGAGCCCGTGGGCCCCATGTGTCAGATTGGGGGCTGGCTGCTGCAATGCACGTAGGGGGCGTGAACCTGAACTCCCCGCGCGATGCTGGGGCTATAATGTGAATGTGATCCTGGGAACCATCGAGTAGTGCACGGCGGTGGTGTGACTCCTGTGTGTGGCATTAGTGGGCTCATCCTTGGGCCTGGGCCTGGTGGTGGCACTTCAACAAGGATGTTGCAAACTGGGAAGGATTCAGAAAAGCTCTACGAGGCTGGTGTGTGGGGTGGAATTCGGCTGCACAGGGCGAGACTAAAGAAACTCCGTCCAGTTAGCTCATCCAAGAGATGTTTCAGAGGTGACTTGGCCGATTTCTGGTGGCAGACGGCTCTTTAGTCTGGCTGTAAAAGGCAGAATGAGATTTGATGTTGGGAAGTTCAGCCTAGCCAGAAGGTGCAATTTCCTGTCAGTCAGGGGATTTCACCACTGGAACAGCTCACCTAGGGAAGTTTAGGCTTATACAATGTGCAGGTGACACCAAGTTGGGCGGGGTTGCAAGCACGTTGGAGGGCAGGATTAGAATTCAAAAGGCCCTTGACAAATAGGAGAATTGGTCTGAAATCAGCAAGATGAAATTCAATCGACAAGTGCCAAGTATTTCACGTCGGAAGGAAAAATCAGATGCACAGCTACAAACTGGGGAGTATCTGGCTGAGTGGAGAACTGCTGAACAGGATCTGGCGGTTATAACGGGTCGCAAACCGAATCTGAGCTGTCAGTGGTAGTGTTGTTGTGCTGTGGAGGGCCCAGGGTAGGAGAGAGAGAAGGTGGGTGAAGTAATGTTTTTACTGGGTGGGGATCAGTCGTTCTCCGTGGCCGCTACTTTCCCACTCTCAGGGGCTAAGCTCTGGAACAGGCGCCCCAGGGAGATTGTGGGGTCCCCGCATCGTTGGTGGTTTTTAAGAACAGGTTGGACAAACACCTGCCAGGGCTGGTCTAGGGTTACTTGGCCTTGCCTCAGCTGGGGGGCTGGACTTGACGATCTCTTGAGGTCCCTTCAGCCCCACGATTCTGTGATTCCGGGATGGAGGATTCTCCATTGCTCGGAGACTGAATGTCCCTGCTGTGGCTCAGTTCGGAGTCCCGGGTTTGCTGCAGGAGTCACTGGTGAGGGGTTCTGGGCTGTGGCTGGGAAGAAGGTTTGGGGGCTGGGGTGGAGAATCAGCTGAACGTGATCCGTATGTGACGCTGGGGCCAAAGGGCTAATGGGATCTATGGATGCATAAACGGGGAATCTCGAGGAGGAGCAGAGAGGTTATTTCACCTCTGTGTGTGGCCCTGGGGCAAGCACTGCTGGGATCCTGGGGCCAGTTCTGGTGCCCACAGTTCAAGAAGGACGTTGATAAATTGGGGAGGGATCAGAGAAGAGCCCCGAGGGTGATTAAAGGGTTAGAAACCTGCCTTAGAGCAAGAGACACCAGGGGCTCAGTCTCCTCAGCTTAACAAGGAGCAGGTCAAGGGGCGACGTGATCGCAGGCGTGGGGAACAGAGATTAACAACAGGCTGCTGACTGTAGCACGGGACGGTCTAAGACGATCCAGTGGCTGGAAGCGGAAGCTAGACTCGTTCAGACCGGAAATAAGGCCTAGATTTTTAACAGTGGGAGTAACTAACCAATGGGACAGCGTCCCCAGGGTGGTGGGGGAGTCTCCAGCACTGGCAACGTGTGAATCCAGACGGGCTGTTTGTCTCCACGCTCTGCTCCAGGAGCTGTTGTGGGGCAGGGCTCGGGTCCGTGCGACATGGAGGGATCACAGTGGGCCCTTCTGGCCTTAAACTCCATGAACAGAATCTACAAATATCCGGGCCATGTTGTGGGAACATAAGAGCAGCCGTACTGGGCCAGAGCACAGACCAACTAGCCCAGTCTCCCGTCTCCAGCACTCGTCTGTATCAGCGCTTCAGAGGAAGAAAAGAGAACAGAGCAATTATGGAGTGACCCTCCCCTGTTTTCCACTCCCAGCTTCTGCCAGTCAGAGGTTGCCCCAAACATGGGATTTCATCCCTGACCATCTTTGCCATCACAACATCCCATGGCAGTGAGTTCCCTAGGTTAGTTGTGCATTGGGTGAAAAAATATTTCCGCTTGTTTTGTATTAAACCTGCTGCCTGTTAATTGCGGGTGACATCTGTGTTTTTGTGTTGTGGGAAAGGTTAAATAACTCTTCTCCAGGCACCTTCTCCACCCCAGTCATGATTTTATAGTCCTCTGCCTTACCCCCTGTTAGTCGTCGCTTTTCCAAGCTAAGCAGTCCCAGGTTTTGTAATCTCTCCTTGTATAGAAGCCGTTCCATACCCCTAATCATTTTTGTTGTCCTTCTCTGAACCTTTTCCAATTCCAATGCATCTTTTTTGAGATGGGGCCACCACATCTGAATGCAGTATTCAAGATGTGGGCGTACCATGGATTTATATAGAGGCAATATGATATTTTCTGTCTTATTATCTATCCCTTTCTTAATGATTCCCAACATTCTGTTTGCTTTTTGACTGTGGCTGCACATTGAGTGGATGTTTTCAGAGAACTATCCACAGTGACTCCAAGATCTCTCTCTTGAGTGGTAACAGCTCATTGAGGGCCCATCATGGTGTACGTCTCGTTGGGATGATGTTTTCCAGAGGGGGCAATGAGGGGGATGGGGGTGTCACTGCACTGCAGGGGGCTGTGGGGGCCTTGCTGCACTGCGGGGGGCTGTTGGGGGCAATGAGGGGGATGGGAGTGTTGCACTGCGGGGGGCTGTGGGGTCATCACTGAACTGAGGGGAGCTGTGGGGGGCAATGAGGGGGATGGGAGTGTTGCACTGCGGGGGGCTGTGGGAGCATTGCTGCACTGGGGGGGTGGGGGCTGCCCCGCAGGAGGGTGGCTCTGTCGGGGATCGCGCCCCCTTCCCCTGCTGGGAGCTCTGCCGGGGGGGCCGGGCAGTTGCTGGGGGGGGGGCCGCGGGGGGCACAGGGCTGTGGGGAGCCGGCCGAGCCAGCCTTGCAGCAGCTCCTATTACAAGGAGCCAGGGACGTGCTCTGAGTGGGGGCTCCCTCTGCCCAGCCAGGGCCCCTCGGGGGGGAGCCGGCGGCTGGAGTGCTCTGGGGGGAAGCCCATGGGGGTGCGTCTATCGGGGGGGGGCACAGGCGGGGGCACCTCGTGGGGCACAGCAGGGTAAGCTGTGGGGGGCCCAGTGCCCTGGCTCCTGTGCAGAGCACCCCCTGCCGCCAGGGACACCCCGGGAAAGCTGCTCCCGGGGGCGCCTGCAGGGTGGCCAGCCCCTCACCGCCCTGGGTTGGGGTTTGCCCAGGGTCTCCCTGTAGTGACAGCAGCTGCCATTAGGGGGCCCCCTGACACTGAGCAAAGGGGGTGTGGAGGCCGACCCCGGCGCCCGCCTCTGCCAGCCAGCGGGTGTGTGGGAGCCCGGCTTGTCCCCGTGCCCCAGCCCCGTGCCCCATGCCCCGTGCCCCAGTCCGGCTTGTCCTGCAGCCCGGCCCCGTGCCCCAGCCCCGAGAGCTCGGGACGTTTCCACCAGGAGTGTAGGGCCGGTGCCCGCGGGGGTCAGCCACTGTCGCCCCAGCCAGCAGCCAGCACTTGGCCTTTGGAAGCACCCAGCTGGGGCCCTGTGCGGGGCGCTGGACGGCCCCTCCCCCTGGGCCCTGTGGTCCACATCTCCCTGTGCCAGGCCGCGGGTGGGGGGGACGTGGGGCAGGTCCACCCCAGGGCCAGAGGACGTACGGGGTAGACAGGCCGATCCCAGCCCCCGCATGTCCAGCTGTGCCAGGCCCGGTGGGGGGTCAGACACGGGCAGCCTGGCAGCAGCTCAGGTTTTGTGGCACCGTCTCGCTGCCCTTCCAGCTGGAAGTGGTGCCTGGTGCCAGCGCCCGCACAGAGCTCCCAGATCCCTGGCGCCAGGGCCCGCTCCACCCTGCGCCCCCCAGGGGGCTGCACTCCCCCGACAGCCCCAGAGATGTGGGGGAGAGACAGCCGGCGGGGAGTGTCGAGCAGGGCTACGTAAGGTGGGGAATGGCGAAAGGGACCATTTGGGTGGTGTGACGAAGTGGGACTGTTCTGAATGTTTTCCTCAGTTTCCCCTATGCAGTTCTTAAGTGTCTAGGTGGTGGGATAAGGGTGTATGGTTTGCTGCAGAGCAAAGGGCCAGGGTACATAAATGCCCGACACTCTGTCTCCTAACAGGTTTCAGAGTAGCAGCCATATTAGTCTGTATCCGCAAAAAGAACAGAAGTACTTGTGGCGCCTTAGAGACTAACAAATTTATTAGAGCATAAGCTTGTAGTCCACGAAAGCTTATGCTCTAATAAATTTGTTAGTCTCTAAAGTGCCACAAGTACTCCTGTTCTTTCTGTCTCCTAGCAACTGATGGCCTGGGCCCCTCCTCTGCAAAGGTTTCAGAGTAGCAGCCGTGTTAGTCTGTATCCGCAAAAAGAACAGGAGTACTTGTGGCACCTTAGAGACTAACAAATTTATTAGAGCATAAGCTTTTGTGGACTACAGCCCACTTCATCGGATGCATATAGAATGCAAAGGTGCCAACTGAAGGTGTTGGAGACAAAGGAATCAGGTGACCTCCTGGCCTGGGAAAGAGACAAAGCCCAGAGAAGGAGGGGCTGGACGGGAGTTTGAAGCTAGCTGGGGACTGGAAGGGAGGGCAGACAGGGGTCTGCCTCGCTGGGCCCCAGAATGGACCTGGTGGAGGGGTCCCGTTCGCTGGACCTACAAGCTCTGTTTTAGACCGTGTTCCTGTCATCTAATAAACCTCTGTGTTACTGGCTGGCCAAGAGTCACGTCTGACTGCGAAGTGGGGGTGCAGAACCCTTTGGCTTCCCCGGGACCCCGCCTGGGCAAATTCGGTGTGGGAAGCGCACGGAGGGGCATATGCTGAATGCTCCCAGGAGAGACCCAGGAGGTGAAGCCGTGTGAGCTTCTTACCCTGAAGACAGTCTGCTCCGAGGGAGAGGAGGCTCCCCAAAGTCCTGAGTGGCTTTGTGGGGAGCAGTTCCAGAGCATTGCCCGGGGACTCCGTGACAACTGGTGGCAGAGGTGGGATGTACTGCACCCTGTGAATGGCGCTTCTTGCAGTAAGTGACTGGGGAGCAGTAAAACAGAGGGGGGACGGTTTCAGGGGACGATTAACCCCTGGGAGTGTGTGACCAGCGAGAAGGACTGTTGAAGTAACGGGGTCCCCCTGGGGATTGCAGCGAGCAGTCTCAGGAGCGGAGGAGCTTGCCGATCAACCCCGGGAGAGAGAAGGACTTTGCTGTAACAGGGTTCCCCTGGGGATTGCAGCGAGCAGTCTCAGGAGCGGAGGAGCTTG